ACCGAAGTGCTGAGATTGTGGTTGTTGAGCGAAGCGGTCACAAGGGCAGTCACATGACATCTTGACTAACTACTGTTTCACTCCGCAACCGCGATTCTGATTTGAATTGTGGTTGAGGACTATTTGTATACAATTCTGTCTTTCTGCATCCTGAACTGGGAACTTCGAGGTCTAGCTTTGGAAATCTATTCTAGATTTATATATTCAACTTAGTATTGAACCATGAGTCAAATAATGCAATTTCACAAGACCTAGTTCTATATAGTTGTAGCTGGTAAATGAGATTGGAAAAATGTGCACCGTATGATGTGTGGAATTCTTTCCTTCTCTGGGCACCAGAGGAAGAACAGAGGGATTTAGAAACAGAACAATTGCCCGCATTTCAAGTCACAGAGATACATTGGGGAGATTTTTTTCTCTGTAGCTGCTAGTCAAATCTGGCATATTTCTGGTCCTGCTGTGTTAGATTTCAAAGAGTTATTTGCTGACAGAGTCCTGACCTCCCTTACATAATTTCTTTGCAAAATTCCATTGGGTTGGAAAGAATAACAAGGCAAGGCAAGCATGCCAGGCATGACTTCTGGAATTATTTCTAACCTCTTTATCAGCCACCCCATAGGTGCATCGATGTTAATAAAGCAATACATAGCATGTGTGTGCACATTTTTTCTTCAAGGACTGTTGTGTCTACTAAGTCTTGCCTCTGTGTAGGTGTGTATCAGTCAGGGTCTAGGGCCGTGATGGCGAACCCATGGCATGTGTGCCCAAAGTGGCATGCGAAGCCATGTTGCCCCGCACGTGCAGCCTTGCCTGTTTGTCTTCCGGGTTTCTGGCACGCATGCGCATGCGACAATCAGCTGTCCTTCATGCGTGCAGCAGTGCCAAAAACTGGCCTGCACATGCGCGCTGGCCAGCTGATCGTTGGGCACGCATGTGTGCTAGAACCCGGAAGTTTGGCTTTTCCAGAACGCGGCCCTGACAAGCAGACATGCGCGCACGATGTTTCCAAGTGCCAAAAAGGTTTGCCATCACTGGTCTAGGTAAAGTAGTGGATATGTGTTATGTAAATAATATAGGGAAGGAAGGAAGGAAGGAAGGAAGGAAGGAAGGAAGGAAGGAAGGAAGGGAAAGAAAGAAAGAAAGAAAGAAAGAAAGAAAGAAAGAAAGAAAGAAAAGAAAGTGTTGTGGTCTGCCAGCAGCCTGTGGAGCTGGCAGTGGAGTTGGACAGTGAGGAGGCTGGGGAGGACGACTCAGGAGTAAGGCCAGGAGATGATTGGCCCCTCCCAGAAGGCTTAAAAGAGCAGCAGCGGCTCTTGGGATCTTTGTAGGAAAGCAACATTGCTACATTTGTTTATTTGGCAGGGTGCCAAAGTAAACAAAGGTTGGTCATAAGGCGGAAGGACTGTTTATGAAGAATTTGTTTTGGACTTAATTTGGACTAAGCTGAGAATGAAGTAATTCTCAGCTGTTCTGATAAAATACGTTTGTTTAGGACTGATTGTGTCTGGTAATAACTACTTGGGCCTAGGTCACAACAGAAAGGAAAGAAAGGGAGGGAGGGAGGGAGGAAAGGAAGGAAGGAAGGAAGGAAGGAAGGAAGGAAGGAAGGAAGGAAGGAAGGAATCCTGTGAGAAGTCCAGGAAATCCTGCATTTTGTTGGCTTTTCTTGCTGCATGAGATTTGGTCCCATTGTGGTTTCGGACAGTCATTCTGCTGGGGGATGGATGGAGAGAGTCCTGAGACTGTTTACTTAATTCATTTCAAACAGTCCTCGTGGATGGAAAGAATAAAACTGCTCCAGAGTACTCATCCGTGATGATATCCCCTATCTGAAATGCATTGCAAGCCAGTTCTTTTTCATTGCCAAATGCCTTTACTTGGGTCTCCTGCAGAACAAATGAATATCTGAGTAGCATCTGATTAAGACTTCATGCTAAAAAGGACAATTTGCGCCACAATAATGAACTGCTTTTACTGAAGCTTTAGAGAAGGTTCCCTCTGCGCTCCATAGTATGTTTCTGAATTATCTTAGACTGCCAACCTGTTTACAAATTGTCCTTTTACTACATCAGAGACGTAGAAAATCATAGACCAGTGGATTACACAAGCTGTGCTTAATGAAAAGTATCTTTGTCCTTTTGCCTTCATGTTATTTTAATGACCTTTTAAGAATTGTTTGCTCAGCTGCTAAGCTTATAAAAACGCAGGTGGTAAATGGCAGAAACTAGTTCAGGTTATTTCTGAATCATCCCAGGCATATATTAATTCTAAGATCTTCATTCTGACGCCATGCTGTCATTTGAAACTCCGGGCAAGCAACATTTTTAAGCAACATTTTTTTTTTTTTAATATAGAAGGGAGTAAATGATGTCAAAGTTGCTTATGCACTGCAGTTGTGCTTTTTAAATAGATTTTGTTTATCTGTTGCACTTCTTAGTGTATACCCAATAATTCTGGAATGCATCCTATAGATCAGGTGTGTCGCTGGAAACAGCGAAGGAATGGCCGCGGTGCCTCTGCCAGCGAAAACGGAGCTCGGGTAGGTGCGCGCTGGCAGAGGGCTGCAGAAGACTGTCGCAATCGAAAACAGACTCAGGAACCCATTTTCACTGGCAGAGCGCTCAGACCAGTGATGAAATCTAAAATTTGTTACTACCGCCATTCAGGAAACTCAGCTTGGATCGTCAGAGGCTTTTAAAAAAAAAAAGCCTCTGATGATCGCGCGGCTCAGCTGGGCATGGGGTGGGGTGTGGCAGGGATTTTTGCTACTGGTTCTCCGAACTACCTGCCTCCATCGCTACCGGATCGGGCGATCCGGTCTGAACCGGGAGCATTTCACCCCTGGCTCAGACCACCACTACAGGCGCCCCAACAGGAGTGATGTCGAGCTGATCACGCCCACCCTGGCCACACCCCACCCTGCCCCTCTGAGGTCAAACACAATCCTGGTGTGGCCCTCAATGAAATTGAGTTTGACACCCCTACTATACAGATGCCCCCTTTATTCTTAGTCTTAGGTCAGGTTTTCTTGACCTGATATCAGCTATTGCTTAAAACGTGCTGAACCTTTCTTATGAAATCAGAAGAAATCGATTGGACGTGAAATGTATCCTATTCCTAACCTGTGACACTGAGATAAACAATTCTGCCTGGAGGCTTTTCTTGTAATTTTCTTGTAATTTTCTTGTAATATTAATATTACAAGGGCCTGACTGCAGGTAGTCCTCAATTTACAACAGTTCACTTAGTGACCATTCGAAGTTGCAACGGCACTGAAAAAAAGTGACCTGTGACCCTTTTTCACACTTATGACCGTTGCAGCATCCCGTGGCCATGTGATTTACATTCAGATGCTTGACAGCTGGTTCATATTTATGACGGTTGCAGTGTCCCAGGGTCATGTAAATCCCCTTTGGCAGCCTTCTGACAAGCAAAGTCAGTGGGGAAGCCAGATTCATTTAACACCCGGGTTACTAATTTAACAACGGCAGTGATTCACTTAACAAAATGGCAAGAAAAGTCGTAAAATGGGGCCAAACTCACTTAACAAATTCCTCACTTAGCAACATAAATTTTGGGCTCAATTGTGGTGGTAAGTCGAGGACTACCTTTATCGGGGGGACTGTCTGTCTCCCATAGTCTCCACCCATCCAGCAATATGATCCAACAGAATTGGCACACTCCGAATCCCATTCCTTAAAACAATTTTTATTTGATAAAGGGAGCCTTTTCCCATTGTAGCACTAGTCTTGTTGGAACAATGTTGCGGTAGGGCTTAAAATTTGGTAAATTCCTAAATATTACATGACGGTTACATGACATTTTCCCAGGTCTTAAGGTTGGCAACCCAGGTTAAAAAAAAAAACCTATAGATGATGCCATTTGGCACAAAAACAATGGCTACTTTGATTTCTGCATTAGGTAACTGTAATCCAGCCAGCCAGCCTTTAAAACCTGAATACAGTGATTCAGCTTATTGACGTTATGTTTCAGTGTAAACCAAGCTTTAGGAGTGTAAGAGCTATATTCCTATTAATGGAACTCCAAGTTACCAGTTTCATTCAGATCCCAGTATTTTTACCCTCTGTTGTAAAATAGGGCAACACCGTTAATAATTCAACAGCACTAATGTCTGTGACCTGATTCATAATTTCAGCAGTTACTTTAGTCGCCGTGTGAATGACAGATTGTTAATACCTTCACCCAATATTGACTATTGTGATTGGCAACCATAATCCAGAATATTACATAGATCTCCTTCCATTTCCTGTTACGTATTCATTTATTGATTCATTCATTTCCTTAAGAGGGCAGAGAGTAATCCTTCTGGAAGCAAAGCAAGTAATTTAACCCTGAGTTATCACCCTGGATTCCCTTAATATGACAAGAATCACCCAAGAATTGGGTCGGTTGTTAAAATGACAACCTAGGTGTAGCTTTACTCACGTTGTAAACCAAGGAGGCAGCCTGGTGTACTGGAATTGATGCAGAACATGGGTAGGTGATATGGATTATGCAGCAATGCATGCAAAGCAATATTGTCTGTGTGTCAAATAATAATTTTATTCTCCTGAAGTGCTATAGATGCCTAATAATAGAGTTGTAAAGTCCAGAGTTTCATCCTTTTCCTGAATGCAGTGTGTATGAATATGTTTTGCGATTCATTTTTAATTCAATGATTTATGTGAAGGTTGATTCTATCCCTATTAGTTGGAAGAGCAGTGGCTCTTACATAGGACTTTCTATGATAGAGTATTTTTGATAGCCCCAAAGGAATTTATGCCAGAAAGCTGTGGATCCACAGGTGTAGTGGTGAGGATTCCTGCTGTGTGATTTATTTTGTTATGATATATTGTAATTTAAAAAAAAGCTTTAATTATTCCATGGGAGAATTGTAAGCTGCCTGGTGTATTGATTGTTTAGAGTGGCACAAAAACCTTCACAAGTGAGTCTCTAATGAAAACATAATACCTGGATTATTTTTCTCCCCTTTTTAACAGAGGAGGAGCTAAGAAAACTGAGAGAAGAAACCAATGCTGAAACACTTAAACAAGAGTTAGAAAAAGAACGCTTGAGAAGGATAGAACTGGAACAAAAAGTCAGTGAAATTCTAAAAGCAAGGTAAGGAGGAATCTGACTGCAAGATAGAGGGTAATTTGAGTTTTGAAAGAGAAAAGTCTATTCCTGAAGGCAATGAATACATGTTTCTATCTACCCTCTTATTTTTGTATGATGCTTTGTAAGAGATTTCATTTCAAAAAGTGGGATATGAATGCAAGAAATTTGTCTTCTCTAACCCCCTATTTTTATTTTTATTTTATTTTATTTTTTAAAATTTGATTTATATGCCGCCCTTCTCCGGAGACTCAGGGCGGCTTACAATGCGTTAAGCAATAGCCTTCATACTTTTGTATATTTTATACAAAGTCATCTTATTGCCCCCACAAACTGGGTCCTCATTTCACCTACCTTAGAAAGGATGGAAGGCTGAGTCAACCTTGAGCCTTGGAGAGATTCGAACCGGCAGTAATTGCAGGCAGCTGTGTTAATAACAGGGTGCTTAGACCACCCTATCTTTTTTTCTACCATGGAAATATAGAAAAGAAATACTAAATAATACACTAGTGTGAATTTTAGCGGCTTTTCTATGAGTTTGCATAAGGATTGCAATAAAATAGCATCTGCTTCTGGGAGGCATTTTGCCAAGGGAACAAGTGTCTAAATGATTTGAAATGGTCTGATCATCCGTTTGTCTAGTATAAATTACATTCTGTCACTTCTTGTAGTTTACAAGCTGCAAGCAAGTTTTATCACATAACACAACTATAATTAATGCTAGCCGTGCCTTGCTGGCAAATTGAGGGCTGTAATTGTGTTTGTTATTTCCTATATGACCACACTTATTATATAGTCCACAATGGAACTAAATATACATGGAGGGAAGCATGGAATGGGGTATCTGAAGGTTCTTTCTTGGGCCCATTGTTGTTCAACATCTTCAGAGATGGGGATTCACTTACTTTCACTACCGGTTCGCAAATGTGAGTGCACGCACATGCTCACTTCGCTCACACACGCCTCCTCTGCACATGCACACGGCCTTCCGCGCATGCTCTTTGCTCATGCATTACATCTGGGTGGGTGGGCGGGCGGAGCCTCCCGCAGTCACCATTACCGGTTTGCCCGAACTGGACAGAACCAGCTGAATCCCACCTCTGAACATCATCTTAAATGACTTAGATGAGGGGATAGAGGGAGAAGTCATGAAATTTGCAGCTGACACCAAGCTGGGGGGAATTGCCAATACTTTAGAAGTTAGTGACAGTGACTAGCACTGACGATGTTACTTAGTTTTGGTAATGAAGCATCGGCAAGAAAACAAGCAAGCTCAGAGAGCACCAAGGACATTTCAACCCCGAGCTACAAATATTCTCCTTTATTTACTTCATGCACTTATGTACAGGACATATTTTAGACTAGCCTTCCCTAATTAGATGTGTTCTGGGTGGGTTTGATGGAAGCTATAGTCCACTGCTTCTTGATTACTAATCTTCATCTCTTATCAAATGTGTGAACCTCAGAAACCTAATAAAAAATCTTTAAATTAGACTGAGCACTACAAGAAAGACAAAGCTAAGATGTATTCATCTGACTTGGTTTGTGGAAATGAATATTGCAAGATTATGTGCAACCCTAATTTGTACTCTTGATTACAGAGACACACACTTGCTAATACTGTAATAGTATTTTAATGATCTATTCCAAAAGGATAACCAGGCACGTACTTGGAACAAATTTTCCTCCTTGTAGGGATATGGGGAACGCATGGATTCCCTCTCTCTTCCTAAGCAATGCTACTGACTCAGAAGAGGAGGAAAGAGAACAAGAATGAATTGCTAGCACTTTCCTAGTCAGCTATTGGAGAACAGCAGATAATTTTACTTGTTTTCAATATGCATTTCAACCCTTGTAACTCAAAATTTGCCTTTAGGAGTATTTAAATACTGAAGTACTTTTGGAACTGTTAACCACATTCAAATGTATTAATCAGTGGTGGGATTCAGCCAGTTCGGGCCGGTTCGGGCAAACCAGTAGTTAAATTGCTGACTGGCCCCTTCCAGGAGTCCCAACGCGCCCCCTTTTGGCTCCCAAGTAAGTGCAGGGAGGCCTCCTAGGTCCAAAACGGGGTATGGGGTACCCCCCTCCCCCGGTGGCCCGTTTTCGCTCCCAGTAGGCTGCAGGAAGGCCTACTACAGTGGTGGGTTCCTCCCGGTTCGGTCCAGTTCGGCTGAGCTGGTAGCGGTGACGATATGACGTCACCAAACCGGTTCTCCCCCCCGCCCTCCCACCCACCCACGTTATTCTTACCTTTTATTTGGCCCCTCCCCCAATCTATTGCTGCCTCCTGAGTCCCAGCTGATGACTAGAGGGGAAAAAACTGTTTAAACTTTTGCTGCGGGGCTTCAAAGGGCCGTCCTACAGCTGATCAGTGTTAAAAGCAAACAAATGAGTCGGGTCGTAAGTGCGAGGACTGGTTGTAAGTGCGAGGACCTTCCAGAAATGACTCTGACCAGCTACCCACGCCCACCTAGTCACATGACCTTCAAACCACACCCACAAAATAAGCCACGCCCACAGAACCAGTAGTAAAAAAATTTAGAATCCACCCCTGGCCTACTAGGGCCAAAACGGGGCGCGTGGCGTGTCCCCCCTACAGCCCATTTTTGCTCCCAGGGGGGTGCAGGAGGCTGAGTGCTGTCTGTCACACCCCCTGGCCATGCCCACCATGGCCACGCCCACCCAGCTGGTCATTAGGACAGAGAACCGGTTGTTAAATTTTTTGAATCCCACCACTGGTATTAATAGATATGGATAAACATATACATATATCCTATACATATACCCTCCTAGGTTCTTTCCAATTCTGTTATTCTGTTAAACTCTTTAATAGACAATCCAATGTTTTGGATATCTGCGTCTGTTGTGAGTACATCCCAAAACATTTGGGATAGGCTGGGCTTCCTCCTAGTATAAACTCAGCATTGCTTATTGTTAAGGGGAGCAATATTAGAGAGTAAGTCTCTTGAGATGTCTGAAGTCTGAATATATAGGGTTTCAAACTATGGGCCACTTTCAAGGGCCATTATTGGCTAGATTTCATGTTTAATTTTTGCACCACACTTGCTAGCTATAGAAATAAATAAAAAAAAGTTTGTTAATTCTTTGGCATTCAATCCTGCATATTTCTGAGGGGGAGATGGGTTTGGGAATGTAAACCTATACTTTGCTGCTGTGTAAAATTGTATGGCATGAGCCATTCATGGCCAATTGCATGCTATTCTAATTGCAGTGTGTCAAAACACACACTAACTTGCTATTGCCACCAATAACTTTCTAGAAATCAGTTGCAAGAAAATAAAATGTTAAAAGAGACACAGTATCATTCTACAAGAGGTATCTGGTATAGAATTTGGGATAACGTGATAACATACTGTATATGTTCTTGGCTAGGCTGCTCCGAAGATATTTCAGCTCATATATTTTAATATTATTAATCATTAATGCAATCAAGTAGCTTTCTTGAGTGCCTCCCTGATTAAAACTTTCACTTCTATGCATGATTTCAAAGAAGATGGTATCTCATTTCAGGCATGCTGCAATCACTCAAATGTTTACTTGAAGAGGGTAATTACTTTTTGCATGTTGCAACTTTCCAGGACAAACCTGCAAAGAGCTGTACACAACTGTATCATATCTTGGAAGAGTGAAACACTTATTTATTCAATTTATATAGATGCCCATCTTGATATAATGACTCTGGGTGATAATAAGACACATAACACAACAAAAAGCACCCAATGTACAAAATTTATACTGACCACCAAAGTAAAAACCCAATCTAGAAAACAGGTCCCAGCTACCTCCTTACCCACCTGCCTGAGTCTTTAAGGAGTTGGGGTTGATTTTGTAAATCCATTTTGTTCAGGGCTGATCTAATCTCAGGGAGTATGGTGCTCTGTAAATACATTAACAGATTAATAGAGTTGGAAGGACCTTGTAGGTCATCTAGTCCAAGCCCCACTTTTGGGGGTTCAGTAAGACAACATCACCATAAGAAAGGCTGAGCGCCAAAGAATTGAGGCCTTTGAACTATGGTGCTGGAGAAGACTCCTGCGAGTCCCTTGGACTGCAAGGCGATCAAACCGGTCAGTCCTAGAGGAGATCAACCCTGACTGCTCTTTAGAAGGCGAGATCCTGAAGATGAAACTCAAATACTTTGGCCACCTAATGAGAAGGAAGGACTCACGGGAGAAGAGCCTAATGCTGGGAAAGATTGAGGGCAAAAGAAGAAGGAGATGGCAGAGAATGAGGTGGCTGGATGGAGTCACTGAAGCAGTAAGCGTGAGTTTAAATGGACTCAGGATGGTAGAGGACAGGAAAGCCTGGAGGAACGTTCTCCATGGGGTTGCGATGGGTTGGACACGACTTCGCAACTAACAACAACAACAAAGCCAATCCTTTAATTAATGGGACCTGCAGCATGCATCTCCTTGCCAGACCTAATGGGATGGGTGGAATCAGCTGGGGAGAGGTGACGCTGCAAATATGCCAGCACCAAGCTAAGAAGGGTTTTATCTGTGACAACCAGCACTTTCAATTGCACCCAGAAGTATATTAGGAGATGCCGCATCTCGCAGAGCAGTGGCAACACAAGTACATTGAGATATGCTGCCCATAACTTCCTGCATGCAAAGGTTTATTCTGTTGGAACTTCCAGATGTTCTTCAAGGGCTCCTCCATACAGAATCCATTGCTGTAATCAATTTAGAAGATGAACAAGCCATGCATGATCATGAGCCTTAGATACACCTAAGCATTTTAGTCGTTTCAGAATACAGAATTAAATTTAGACAGGAAACCCAGTGAGGTGACTCGATTATTATTGACGTCCTGTCATCTACTGTTCTTTGTTTTAACTCTGTTTTTGTAGTTTTCACATTTTTAAAAATAATTATTAACGATAATGGTTTTAGACGGTTATTGTTTCAGTTTTGTTGTACACTGCCCAGAGTTGCTTGTTTGTGACATGGGTAGGGTACATAAATTAGATATATAAATACATTTTTAAAAAATAAAATACATTTCATTCTAGGACTTTTGGTAGGTGGTAAATCTAGAGATTGTTGAAAAGAGGCATTCGCAACAGAGCATGTTGGCATAAATCAGGAATCGGCAACCCGCGGCTCTGGAGCCGCGTGTGGCTCTTTCATCCCTCTGCTGCGGCTCCCTGTTGCCGGTCGGCTCCACAATTGATAGAGCTTTCGGTTAGGACAGGTAAAGGAAAAAGGATGCCACGCTAGGAGGAAACTCTATGGTGGGGGAACTGGTCTTCTGGTCGGCTCCAGAATTGAATGGGGGGCTTTGTGGCTCTTTGAGTGTTTAAGATTGCCGACCCCTGGCATAAATGAAGCAGCTCTCTCAAGTTGGAAAGCAGCCATTGACTTAAAAGTCTTACAGGTTGTCCAGCTTGGCTGTTCAAAGCAGCTGCTTTGATTCATCTTTGTTGTGGAAATTTTAAGAATCCTCTCTCTGTTCCTTTGAAATATTGACATTTTATTTTGTTTTGTTTTGTTCAATGAATGTATTCTAAATTGCACTTGTTTTCTTAATTTGTTTTAGAGCAGACGAATCGCCTCCATCTACCCAGCAGCCCCCCAAAGCACAGAATGGAACAGGTATACCTGGCTCCTTACTAAAACGGTTAATAATTACAGACGGGCTTTACTTTAATTGTAGGAGTGTGGAAGAGCAACAAGATCGAGAATGTCCCTGCTTACAGTATTTATTTTATTTATTTATTTATTTTTGTCAAGAATGTATTTGGTAATAAGTATAAGCATTGATTAGATACATAAAATAGATACAAATAGAAGAAACGTTAGGACAGGGACGGTAGGCACCCTGGTGCTCTTATGTACGCCCCTTACAAACCTCTTAGGAATGGGTTGAGGTCAACAGTAGACAGTCTTAGGTTAAAATTTTGGGGGTTTGGGGATAAAACCACAGAGTCAGGTAGTGTATTTCAGGCATTGACCACTCTGTTGCTGAAGTCATATTTTCTGCAATCGAGTTTGGTGCGGGTTACCTTAAGTTTGTATCTATTGTGTGCTCGTGTATTGTTGTGGTTGAAGCTGAAGTAGTCATTGACAGGTAGGACATTGTAGCAGATAATTTTATGAGCTACACTTAGGTCATACCGAAGGCGGCCTAGTTCTAGGTTGTCCAAGCCCAAAATTTCAAGTCTGGTGGCATAAGGTAAGTAGTAGTAGAGTTTTATAAATGAAATATCTAGCAGAATGTGCATCTCTCTGCCTTAACACATTCTGTTATGTAGAAATTGCAGACCCTTTCTACATTGAAAGTGAATAAAAATAAAAGCTGGCTTTTAGAAAAATCTAAATTTGATTAGCTAAATTTAAATTGGATATTTTTTTTATTTTTTTGAAAAGGATAAAGAAGAACTCAGCAAATCCATATCCTCAGCTCAACATAAAAAAAAAAAGGAGGCTGAGAGCTAGTTAAATCAGCCATTGTGTTCTCTGTCCCGTGGACAACTGAATAATTGTCCAGCTTTATGTCTGTCCCTCCATCATGAGCATTTGGGGCGGGCTGAAAGGATACTCTTTGTTGGAGTAAGAAATAATTATTCCAAGCAGAACATGGGAAAGAGAAAAACAATTTTTTTTTTCTAGTGTAAAAGTCTATGTGTTCCCAGGTATAACATATTTTCTTTGGCGATGCTCATTAAAAATATATTACAAAAAATTATGGACTCACAACAATCAACAATGAAATGTTGAGGATGATGCAATATGAGTCCTGTCACATCTGGAAATTATCAGATTGGCAATTGTAAAGGCCTTCCCTCAGTGGTGAAATCCATTTTTTTAGTACCAGCTTGGTGGGTGTGGCTTGGTGGGCGTGGCAGGGGAAGGATACTGCAAAATCTCCATTCCCACCCCACTCCAAAGGAAGGATATTGCAAAATCACCATTCCCTCCCCACTCCTGGGGGAAGGATATTGCAAAAATTCCATTCCCACCCCTCTCTGGGGCCAGCGAGAGGTGGTATTTGCCAGTTCTCCGAACTGTTCAAAATTTCCGCTACCGGTTCTCCAGAACCTGTCAGAACCTGCTGGATTTCACCCCTCTGCAAAAGAAAAGCAGAGAAAATGAGTACACTGATTTATCTCAATCAAGCTTTACCAAAATCTACCTTGCAGATCAGGCCCGTTCCCCAAGAATCCTACAAATAAGACAGAACTTCCTTTGCTGAAATTTATCAAGGGTTGTTACCTTACCTGAAGATGGGGATTACATCATGGAGGAGATGGCGTTCTTTGTTGCCTCAAAAGAAATAAATACTACAAGAATAAAACCAAAATAGTTTACAGTGGTTTTAGCCTAACAAGTTCTCTTTGTAAAATACATAATAAATATAAATTTTCAGAAGCAGTTCAATTCATAATTGGTTGCTTTGGGAATGAATGAATGCATCAGCGGTTGGTTTCAGAAATGCTTACCACCGATTCACACACATACCTCGCGCACGCTCGCTTCGTGCTCGCTTGCCTTCTGTGCATGCGCCCGGCCTTTCACACATGTGCTTTGCTCATGCACATGCCTTCCGCGCATTCGTCTGGCCTCAAAAATGTGGCTAAATAGGACGGTATTACGTCCGGGTGGGTGGGCAGGGCAGGCCCACCCACAGTCACCGCTACCGGTTCGCCTAAACTGGTACGAACCGGAAGAATACCACCTCTGGAATGAATACAGTATTTCTTGAAACAGAGGACTTGAAATAATAATATTTATGGGAGTTCTCATTCATGCATATGAGCTTTTCTGCAAAGCTGTTTTATTTAGTATTTTATTAAATTCTCACTTGTAAACACCTGGTTACTTATATGAGCCACAACTGAAACCCTTGTTTCTGTCTTACGACCTTTTATGTAAACTTCTCTCTCTTTAGAGCATCAGCCCCCAACCTTTTGGGTACCGGGGATTCAGTGTATTCAGACATGGATGGACCTCGATTCCAATATGAGAATTCCTGGCGAGCCCTTTTGTCAATGAACAAGTTTAGTTTCCTGAATGTTATAGAGCAGTAGGTTCTGTTAATATTAATTATCCTGCCATTTTAAGGATTTCTGGTTGTGGTTCAGAATAATTGCTTCTGTAAGTAGTTTTGAACTGATTGTTTTGGAAGTCACTGAAAAATGCGATGTGTTTTTGATTATTAGATAAACGCAGCCACATGGTGTGTTCAAGAGTTCAGAAATGGATTTATGATAAATTTGGAGAATATATTGAAGACTTTAGATTTCAGCCAGAAGAAAACACAGTGGAAACTGAAGAGCCGCTCAGTGCTAGACGGTAAATTATATTGGAAAGCTATTTTCTTATGTAAAGACAATAAACGTAAAAGTCTCTTGGATCAATGTACCTAGATAACAAACAATATTAATTAAAGGCTTCTTAATTCTATCATAATTTGATATTGGCTTATATTCTATATGGTACAGTTCTTAATTGTTACTTTTATATTTGATTTATAATGAAATGGAATTTTAAAACTACTAATTTTTGTCAAATGTATTTCTCTTTGTTTCTTTCTCTCTCATTTGTTTACGTGTGTGTATATGCAAGTATGTGTCTTTGTGTTTCTGTAATCCGCAACAGAGTGTATTACAGTTCCATACTTTTAATCTAACTCTGAGCTTGTGAAGATTTTCTATCTTATCTTTAAAGACATATGCATATCATTTGAGAATCAAGTTTGCAATAGATGCACCAATAGCAAACAGAAATGCATTAATTTTCGAAGGGGCTTCTATACATGTTTATTGTTTACTTTCAGGCTAACAGAAAATATGAGAAGATTAAGTAAGTATTTAACCATGTTTATATTGTTTATATATCTGTAATGGGCTGGCATACCAAAAGCAGATGAGTGACATTTCAGTAGATCTTGTTCATTCTGAGTGTGAGAATGGAGATTGGCTAGATCTAGAATATGCATTGCAAGCAAATGATAGATTTTGTACATTCTATTGTTGTCTCTCATACTAAGAGAGGCAGTGTAGTATAATGGTTAAAGATTACTAGCAGGAAAAGTTAGGTTTTAGGCTACTAGATTTTAGACTTTGGGCAAGTATTATTCTGTCTCTGAATAAGTTTACTTGATAGAGTTTTTACAGAGGGAAAATAAGGAGAGCTATGTATGCCACAGAACAAGCAAACAAATTAGATTTAGGATGCTTCCAATATGAATGATTTGGGAATAAGTTCAGATGAACATGCTCATTGTTATGAACGTCAAGAGACAATTTGCATGTGAGAAGTGGATCATAACAAGAGCAAAACCCCTTTATCATTTCTCTGTTTCATTGGAGGCCTTTTTTTGTACATTAATTTGTAGTTAAATCAATCAAATGATATAAATCAGTCGATTATTCAGTTTCTAGCATCTGGACTTTCAAAAAATCAAAGATAGTTTTGCTTAAATAAGTAAGAGGAGATTGTGGATACAAAGATCATACAAATGGGTGGCTATGGATTATCTGTAAAAAAAAATCTGAATGAGATTTAATTTGATTTTTAAAAATTAACTGTCTCTACTTTTAGTCTTTGTATGCTTTTCTTGTGCCATTGTCAATTGTACTTGTAAACCACACACCTAAGTAGTTAAAGTTATATCTATATTTTCTGTTCTGCCTAGAGAGAGGTGCCAAACCTGTTACAAATTTTGTGAAGAATCTTTCTGCCTTATCCGACTGGTTTTCTGTCTATACTTCTGCTATTGCCTTTATTGTAAGTTGTTCTTTCTTAATTGAGCAACACACAATTTGACCAGAATAATATTTTGTTATTTAAATTTTGTTTTTAGAAAAGAGTGATGAAAATCACTAATGATTCTACCCAATATTTGCAATTGTTCATGATTTCTTTGAAAATGTGGCTTAGTATCAGTCTGATCTGCTACATTCAGTGCATTGACGTGGTCCTTAACTTATGACTGTAATAGAGCCCAAAATTACAGCTACAAGGCATTGCAAGTCGAGGTATTACATGACTGGACCAGATTTTTTGTTATTTTTTTGTGGTTGTTAAACAAATGCCATGCCCATTAAGCAGTTGTTAAGTGAAGCCATTTTCCCATTGGGCAATTTTTATCAGAAACTGGAAGTAAATGCCAGAAACTTGCAAAAAAAGCCATCGAGAATTGTCACAAAACCATGTTCGGTGAGATGGGTCACTGTATAAATTTGTTAAACTAACAAACAATCATACAAGTAAATATTGTATGGTTCTTTTTAATTTTAAGAAACCTGCAACCATGCCTAAAAAGATACTGCATGTATGCTGCCATGAGCTTCTGAACAAAGACTGGGTAGAAATTTAAGAAATACATGACATTAGGAATGCTTCTTTTAAATTTACATAGTGACAATAATGTGATTAATATTTAATTCAAGGTATGTAGGGTTGCAATGAAAGTTTCCTGTCCATTGCTGTTAATATTATGTTTTAACATAATAATTGCATGTAAAGATAACGTGGTTTATTTTGTTCTTCTTCTTTTTTTTTTTTTGGTAGATCTACATGAATGCTGTATGGCATGGCTGGGCCATTCCTATGTTCTTATTTTTAGCAATTTTGAGGTTGTCGCTAAATTACCTCATAGCCAGGTAATCACTCTTTAATATGTTGTCAATAATAGGTATGCCTCAAATACTGTAGTATATATACTGCTAGAATTTATGCAATTTAAAGTGGTGTATGAGTTTGTCTAAATAAATCAATAAATAATGCATTTTTATATTGTCTTCCTATTTAATGCAGTTAATTTAAAAATTGATAACAAAATAGGAAATTCCAGTCTTTGGTGCTCTTGTACTTTAAAATTTTTGTATTGCATATGGAAATATCTGGTTTCTAGCTTATTGACTATCTCAGCGGATGGCAGCATCTGACAAAGGGTCTAGGACAACTCACCATGGCCAACTGACGGCAGCTATCTCATCACATCCAACTTGCCACAGCTATCTTGCTGCAGCCAACCCAGTGCGGCCATTTTGCCACAGCCAACTCACTGCAGGAGAATTCCACATGGGATAACTCAACGTGATAAATGTTACCTGCTTCTGTTTCTTCACCATTCTTTCCATTTTTGTCAATGGAAATAATGTCAAAAACCCAGTGGCAGACAACATTTATTGAGTTGAGTTATCCCACATGGACTTGTCGGCAAATTGTCTGAGATGAATTGCCTGTTCCGCCTGGCCAACCACATCAGTGCTGGGAAGCTAAACAGTGTTGGGCTTAATTCATACGTGGGTGAGAGACCACCAGGAAAATGTCAGGTTTCTTCTCTAGACAGGAGAGATGAGAAACTCTTGGAAGAAGGTGGTGGTAAGCTATTACCATCCTGTTGGTCTTCAGGATTTAGTGACTGTGATCTAGGGCAGAGGTCTCCAACCTTGACAACTTTAAGACTTGTGGATTTCAATTCCCAGAATTCTGGGAGTTGAAGTCCACAAGTCTTAAAGTTGCCAAGGTTGGAGACCCCTGATCTAGGGAACAAAGTTCCTGATGTTTCTCCAGAAATTGTGGTTGGCATAATCAGAAGCAAAGTGGCCTACTATACAGACCACAGGCAACTGAGCAGGACTGACTGGGTTTTTGTATTCATTAACTGGGTGTCCTGATTATGTTTAGCCAAGCTGGTTTCCAATTGTTCTGGTTGGTGAGGGCTAGTCTTTCAACCTGTTGCCAACCAAACTGCATACATGTCCCATCTAGTTAACTGAAGTATTGCCTTGAGGGAGTTTTATCTATAGTACTTAATATTAAAGATTACCTCCATGCCAGAAATATGTTACTTAAGAACTAGTATCTGGTAGTGCTAGTTCATCAAGGAAAAAATCTTCTTTCAAGGGCCGTTCAGAAACTCAGAAACTCCCAACCCTCCCTAAAGAGTAAGAGAACCTGAAATATTCTCTATTACATAGATTAAATAAAGTGGGTTTGATGTTGGCTTTCATCCAGGATTTTATTTTACTTCTATACTACTACGACAGATGTAATGCACTGTACATACTTATCAACACATTTTGATTATACTTGCAAACAAAACGTGATTTCTGTTTCACCCTCTGTGATACGTTTAAATGGAAAAGAAGACAAATCAGCTAAATTGCCTTTCAGATGTTCGGGGAATATGAAATTCAACACAATTGTAGCTTTTTTACAAATTATAATAAGAGGAGAAAGTAAACAAGAAATCATAGAATTTGAATTGTGGGCGTGTTAGTAAATCCTTCCCTAACCCTTCTCCTTCATCACATTTTCATGTGCCAAATTTATTCCTAATATTATTATTACTTCTACTGTCCCTGCATTTCTTGTAATGGAATGGCTTAGACTCAGTCAGCAAGTGTGTTCCATTGAGTTGTTAGAGTCTACTCAGATTCATTGCCTGCAAAATTGCTGCCATTGTCTTTATAGCAAACAGCCACACATTGAGAATAGCTAATGTGAGAAGCGATCACTGTAATCAGGAACTGATTGACAGATTCATGTGGCTTTCCAGAAAAGATAAACTTTGAAATATGGCCCCATTTCCACTTGTATTTATGGAGATCCTTTTACACAATAAATGTATGGGGAGGGGGATGTTTCAATTTCATGTTTTTAGGAAAGTTGAAAGATAAATATTTATTTACTATATTTTTATTCAGTGATGGAATATTTTATTGTTCATAATTAGTGTGATGTTAAATCCCAATTTCATAGTCAAATAATCTAACATGGAATAAATACTTTACGTGCAAGAACATTGTTGTAATAGCCTAATTATTTCTTTTATTTCTTTTTTTAAAAAATGTTAGCTATGCATTTTATTATGCATATGCATACTATGCATTCTACATTCAGGACTACAAGATCCCTTTAAGACGAATGTCAGGACTATATTAAAGAAAATTTTTAAAATTTGAAAAGATATATTTTGTTGCCTTCATGAGTTGCTTTTTAAAAGGATTTCTCCTGTTTCATTGTTATGAAGCTGCATAGAAAACCAGTGTTCCTGTTTAATGCAAATTCCTTTTTTTTTTAGAGGGTGGAGAATACAGTGGAGCATTGTGCCTGAAGTTTCTGAGCCTATTGTAAGTCCAAATGATGTTGAGATAACTTTTGAAATGTTTATATCAGGGTTGTCAAACTCAATTTCATTGAGGGCCACATCAGGGCTGTGGTTGACCTTCGGGGGGAGTGTAGCTGGAGGGGCGTGGCTGACTGGGTGGGTGTGGCCAACTGGATGGGAGAATATTTTTCCTTTCTTTTAAGTTTAAAACCGCACACTCATGGTTTGATGACAAATTAGACTTACTGTTTTAGGAACCTCCCAAAGAAGACTTAACGGTGTCAGAAAAGTTCCAGCTTGTTCTGGATGTGGCACAAAAAGCACAGGTATGAAACATTTGGCATCTCCATTTAGCAGTTGCAGGTAGAAATCTGTGAGAAATCTGCGCGTGAAAAATGATTCCTGGAGAGTATAGCCTACTCTGGACTAGAACGTTTATGGAAGGCAGCTTGGATTAGTCACACTTGATTTTCCCACCTCATTTGAGAAATAGCAGAAGAGTGGTGTGGTGATCTAGAGGTGGAGCTCTCACCTCACAATCAGGAGGCTGTGAGTTCGATCCTAGGTAGAGGCAGATATTTCTCTCTCTGGGTGCACTGAGAATATATTTGTATATAATTATATACAAATTATATAATATATAACTCGGCATTGGTGTCCGGAAGAGTCATCCGGCCATTAAAACACTCTGCTAGCTCCATTCAGTTGCCCAGACTCAACCCCGCAAGGGACTATGGGGTCGTTAAACGACGATGATTTGAGAAATAGCAGAACATAGTAAATGTATAGGGTTTGATTTAAAAAGTAAACTTGTTAAACAACTTCTTGTTTTTTCATATATGCAGACATGTATTCCAATCTAATACTCCGTTTCTTTCTTGATTACAGAATTTATTTGGGAAAATGTCAGATATACTAGAAAAAATTAAAAAGTAAGTTTCTATGTATTTCTCTTCCTAGCAACAAATTTTTCATCAGGTCTGAATGGTGACATATTTAAATGCTGCCTATTTACCTTTATTTTCTGTTCTTTCTCTCTCTCTCCAGTTTGTTCATGTGGGTCCAGCCTGAAGTAACGCAGAAACTATATATTGCTTTATGGGCAGCTTTTATTGCATCCTGCTGCATTCCTTACAGGATCGTTGGGCTTGCAATAGGTAAAACTATTATATTTTCACATTGCGTGCTTTCTTAAATGTTAGAATTCCACATCCTGCTTAAAAAAAAAAAGAGCAATTGGTTTGGCTTTAAAATCACCTATGTAGTTTATGTTTTAACATCTCACTATCTGGAGATGGCTATTCCATTTATCTGTTCTCAGCTTATCAGCAATGTCCTTTTTATTTCTCTTTATTTTTGAGTTGGCTTACCATATTCAGATGCAGGTTGCTGAATCAGGTACAAAACTAATTAATATAACAACAGTAGTAATTGCTCACTTGAGTCAATGGTGAGTCAACATAGCAGCAGAAATATAAAGACATTCAAGAGGCAATACTATAAATGAAAAATATAGTCCCTTATCAAACTAGAAGATTTGAAGCTTATCTGAGCTATTTAAAGTAAAGTATATCATCTGCCCAAGGCCTAAAATTGAACAAATTGTTGTTAGCATTGTCACAAAACAAAACAACAAAACAAAACAAAACAAAACAAAACAAAACAAAACAAAACAAAACAAAACAAAACAAACAAGCATAAATCCTACCCCCATTCCTAAGCATAAGGAAATTGTATAGATACAATATATAATGTAACCAATTTAGCTATTGACTGGGTGATGTTGGTCTAGATCAGAGGTCAGCAACTTGCAGCTCTGGAGCCGCATGTGGCTCTTTCATCCCTCTACTGCAGCTCCCTATTGCTCAAAATATGCGTCACAACCGCCAATGTGATACCCACCGGGCATGTGATTTATTGAGCTTTTCGACCCCTGGTAGGCCAACCATTTATGAATCCAAGAAAAGAAAAGTTTCAGAAGAAAACAGAACGTTTAATACATATGCTAGTTTTGTGTTCGCTCAGGAAATAGTCAGCCCAGGAAAGGTTTTGTGGCTCCCGGTATTTTCTTTTCTGTGGGAAACGGGTCCAAATGGCTCTTTGAGTGTTTATGGTTTCTGACCCCTGGTCTAGATGTCTAATAAAGGAAGTGAGATGAGTAGCTTTTCTTCAACTGGTACATCTTGGAGGAGAACAGAGATTATGGTGACATGTAGGTCCCTAGAAAAGTTGCAGTATAATAAAAGGTGGGCCACACCCTAAATTGCCTGGGAGTTACCAGGAAATAAACATTCCAAAAACAAGGACCTTATAATGTTTGTGTTCAATAAAAGTGTCAAGGACAACGATAAATTAGGCATTATTTTCAAAGCCTGAAATTGTGTATTCAGCAGTACTTACAAGTCGAATAGTTCTACTTGTAAATGTTCTTAGGTGGCTTTCCTAATCATTATTTTTTTGTAGGGTGGCTCTCTTGATACAATCCTGCTGTACAGCAGGTTTAGACGCTCACAAAAGTTCTTACTTGATCATTTTGTTGCAATAAAGTTTGAAACTCCTTTTTTAAAAAAAATAGTGGCCAGGGGTGGGCTTCAAAAATTTTAGCAAGGAGTTCTCTGCCCGATTGCTGGGTGGGCATGGCCATGGTGGGCGTGGCCTAGTCAGCCTCCTGCACCATGGCAGTGGGGGGCATTTTTGCCCTTCCCGGACTCCGGAGACTTTCCTTGAGCCTCCAGGACGGCGAAAATAGCCTCCCCAGGCTCCGGAGGCCCTCTGGAGGCCGGAAACCAGCCTTCCTGAACTTCCAGTAGGCCCCTTTCTCCCCTCCCCCCCTCCGCCGAGCCTCCGCTCGCGCCCTGCACTTACCTGCATCCAAAACTGGCCATGTGGGGACTCCGGAGAGGGGAGGGGAGGGGTGGGCAGGGCCAGCCAGGAGTGGGATTCGGGGGTTCTCCGAACTGCACAGAATCTTAGCTAGAGGTTCTCCCGAACCCCTGCGAACCCCCAGCAGCCCACCCCTGATAGTGGCTATTTATCAACTTCAAGTGAGTCACTATATCTGAGCCGCTTTCACTTTACAAGCTTGCTTTCAGGATGAATTTGGGTGAGGGAGATACTGAAACTATGCGGAGATACTTCCTGACAAGCTATGTAAGCCTGGAAAAAGAGGCAGCTGCTTTAATGATCCAGAGAAAGCATCTTGAGATATATGCCCCTGCATATTGTTAAAGATCTCTTTCTTAGTACAGGTAGCCCTCGACTTACAACAGTTCATTTTGTGACTGCTCAAAGTTACAACGGCACTGAAAAAAGTGACTTATGGCCATTTTTCATATTTACAAGCATCCCCATGGTTACATGATCAAAATTTGGATGCTTGGCAACCCCGGCCGTGTCCTGGGGTCATGTAAATCCCCCTTTGAAGGGGGAGAAGCAAAGTCAGTGGAGAAACCAGATTCATTAACAGCCCTGTTTAACAACTGCAGTGATCCACTTAACAAATGTGACAAGAAAGGTCGTAAAATTGGACAAAGCTCACTTAAAAAATTTCTCACTTAGCAATATAAATTTTGATCGTAAATTGAGGATTATCCTGTATTTGCAAATTAGTATTTATAGTATAATTTTGTTTCCACGCTTCAGTCATGAAACTTTCCTCATTCCAACCTTTGACTTTCTAATTATGCAGGACTTTATGCAGGAATTAAATTTTTTCTGATTGATTTTGTCTTCAAACGGTGTCCAAGACTACGGGCAAAGTACGATTCTCCTTATATCATATGGTTGAACTTGCCTACGGATCCTCAACTCAAAGAAAGGGCTAATGCTACAGTATCGAGACGGGTAACTCTTTTTTTTTCTTTCTTTCTCTGTAACACAACTTAACAACATCTGTGTAGCTTCAGTGAGCAGAGCACATAGAGGGCTAGTTGTTCGTGCTTCAAATCCAATATTTACATTCCCATGCACTTACTTAGCGTACTGCTCCTGTCTGCCCACCTCTTTCTAAAATCTTCAGGTATAGGAATATGATGCTTTTAAAATAAGAGGTTGTCCAATGGAAAAAGGACTTTTTAAAACAATTTAGAGAGTGCCTAAATTTGTTTGCTTTTTATTAAAAAGAAAACGCTTTCCTCTAAAACGTTTTGACGGCATCTGAAGTATTGTAATATGTTCTTAACAATATTTTAATTCATAGAAAGAAAGGAAAGTAGATTTGGGATATACGAGTAAAGTCCAACTAAGAACTTGACTCTGCTTGTGCCATTGTTCGATATAAACTAATCATTAACTTTGCTCACTTGCAACTGTAATAATTGCATATATCTGGAGTAATGATCAACTTGGCTACGTTTATGGAATTAAAATGCAGCAATTAGCCAGATTAGCACTCTGGGGCTGTGTGTTTAATCCATGTGACTTGTTAAGAAACCAACAATTGCTTCTTTGTGCTTCACTCCTAAAGCTATAGTCATTGTTAAGACATTGAATACATAGTTAAGAGCTAAAAGATAAAGAGTTCCTCCTGTATGTCCCGAACAAATGTTAGGTTTGTCTGCAATCAGGTAACATATACCGGTAGTAAAAATGGAAATTTATTTCTTTTTTTAAAGTAATAAAATACTTCTAGCCTTAAATCAGGGGTGAATAATTGGTGTCTCTGTTACTGTTTCTTTTCACCCTCCAAATGACATTACAATAAAATATATATTTTTTGCTATCTTGAAGTGAGAGCATGTATATAAAATATGCAATTAAATCCTAAATTATGTTTTATCTGACTCTTTCTCCTGAATGTTTAAAGTGGCTCCTACTTACTTCACAATGGATCTCCTGATAGATATTTCAATCCTTGTTATTAGTATAAGATACGAGTGTCAAACTCGTGGCGTCACGTTGCCGTCACGTGATGTTTTGTGATGCTTTCCCCCTTCGTGGAGCTGGGGTGAACATGGCCCGCAGGCCGCCAGTTTAACACCCCTGGTATAAGAGATCCACTAATGCCCCCATCAGCATCTTCCGCAATTTGCTTCATTTAGCTATTGCCAAATGATTAAAGAAGTGAAAAAGCAAAGTTAAAGTCATTCTAATCGTCACCCCTTTCAAAATAATTTCTCTTTTAAAAAAACACAACACTACAGAACTCTCTCAAATATTTTCTTGAATCAATTTTAGCTAAATCATCATTAGAGAAATTATTAAATATCACCAACTTGTGCAAAGTAAGTCAGGAATCAGAGATGGGAACATCCAGCCAGGCATCCATAGTTTTAATAAAATTCAAAAACTGTGCTCTATCCATTAATAATAGGGACGCGGTGGCTCAGTGGCTAAGACACCGAGCTTGTCGATCAGAAGGTCGGCAGTTCAGCGGTTCAAATCCCTAGTGCTGCGTAATGGGATGACCTCCCGTTACTTGTCCCAGCTTCTGCCAACCTAGCAGATTGAAAGCACGTAAAAAACGCAAGTAGAAAATAGGGACCACTTGGTGGGAAGGTAACAGCATTCTGTGCGCCTTTGGCATTTAATCATGCTAGCCACATGACCACGGAGACGTCTTCGGACAGCGCTGGCTCTTCGGCTTTGAAACGGAGATGAGCACCACCCCCTTAAGTCAGGAACGACTAGCACGCATATGCAGGGGAACCTTTACCTTTATCCATTGATATCTTTCAGGGATTTAAAAAAAAATATTGGGTAATCTTTTGGTATGCAAAAAAATCTTGCCAATTCACTCAGTTCGTATTTTTATTCTGCATATGATGCAATTAAATAGGATTTGCTTTTTTTCTTTTGTCATCATCACATTGTGTTTGTTTGTTTGTTTTTTCCCTCCTGCTAGCTGTCAGGTCATGAAAAGGTATGGATCTTAGAGTGGAATATCTTCTGTCTTTCAGATGATCATTTGTGTTCAGAATGAGCAGCAATTTTTTTTTCTTTCTTTCTCCCGCTATCTCTCCCCACCTCTGTTGTTTATACAAACGTGTTTAAGTGTAATGTTTACATTTGTATTAATTATAGTAATTGGTCTTCATTTGAATCCAAAGACCCAGACATGTAGAAACTGTTCTTTACTATTAACGGATCAATTTTGCATTGTGTTCAATATTTCCCTATTCAGTTGAAGACATGGTTTGATAAACTTGATGTGGCAGAGCGTTCATATAACTATTGCTTTATTTAATTTTACTTTGCTTGATTAGTAGAGAAGCAAACTCTAGAAGCATACAACAGTATTAACAATATGATATACCTTCAAAATTAATAGTCATGAAAATCCTCTTGCTTGTAATGATTTACATATCACAATACTTTGAAAAATGGTTGATGCAGAAATGAAAGATGCCTTCGTTTAAACGTTGAGATAGACCAATCTAGTTGCCTGGGCAGCTGGGAATGTTGGCAATTGTAATTCATTCGTAAGACTATGTGTTTCTTAGCCCAAATTTAAACCTGTGTATATTGGTATCCTTCTGAATATATTTGCTGGGTAAATGGCCACTTGATGCAAAACAGCAAATTAAGCTTTGGAGTCCATGGGTCAAAATGAAAAAAAAATATGTTTTTCTGCCCCACCATTTCCCTCTTACAATGCCAAGGAATAGGAAAGTATTGGTATAAGTAGTCCTTGACTTAAAATCGCAATTGGGGCCAGAACTTCCAGTGCTAAGCAAAAGGGTTGTTACGTGAGTTATGCCCAACTGTATGACCCTTTCCGCTACAGTTGTTAAAGTGAATCACCCTCGGTGTTAAATGAATCACATAGTTGTTAAATGAAACCAGCTTCCCTCATTAACTTTGCTTGTGGGAAGACTGCAAATGAAATCACATGGCCCCAGGACACTGCAACTGACATAAATTCATTTTGGTTGCCAATCACAAATTTTGGTTACATGACCACGAGGATGCTGCGATGGACCGATTGTAAGTCACTTTTTTCAGTGCCGTTGTAAGTTTGAAAAGTTCCTAAATGAATGGTTCTAAGTCAAGGACTACTTGTATATATTCAACATTCCTGAATCAGTGTTGAGCTTATGCTTATTAAAAGATGGATAGAATAGCTGGATGTGAATGGGACTTCCCGCCTAAAAAACATCTACTGTATTATCAAACTTATGAGGTGGCTTGTGGTAATATTTTGTCACCCATTTTCCCCATCTTGTAACAGCCCCGCTAATCAATTTTTGCTGGACAAATAACATGCCAAGTGAATCGCTTGTTTTTATGACTTTGATGAGATCCTACTTGTGGCTTTTGGGTGCTTTGGGAACATATGTAGCTACAGTGTTTTAAATTGCACCATAGCAGATTGATTCTTTATTGGTGGCAGGTCCTGCAACCTCATGGAAAGCTCCTGTCTGAAGTTCTAATAGTTGAGATTGGGGTTTTTTTTTTTAATGGAAAACGCATTTTCTTACCCCTCAAAAGGATGTCAAAAAAAAAAAAAAAAGCATCAGGGACATGCCCTGTTTTGGGTCACAACACAGATTAGTTACATCAGGGCTGTCCAACTCGCGGCCCACTGGCCAGATGCGTCCCGCACTGGTCACGCCCGGTTTAGCGAAGGGGAAAAAAGTCACGATACATCATGTGACACCACCGTGATGACGCGAGTTTGACACCTCTATGTTACATGATATACAGCCCTGTGGAGGATTCATTTGAAGGAGTTGCCCAGTTGCTCTGCATGGCAGCCTTCAGAAAAGATCCTATGTCAAGTCAAACTGCACAATGTCACACGATGAGTCTGAGCATCCTTTATTAATTGTAACTCACAGCCTGATGAGTGATGGAATCCTTCACAAGTTGATCAACCCTGGATTATTTTGGAGAGGGATTGCGGCTGCATCAGACACGGGGTTTCTAGCACTGAAGCAGGACATTTCCTGAGGACAAGGGAAGATAACATAACTGAAGCTTGTGTTGATTTCTGCAAGTGTTTAGTAAACCAGGTTTATGTTGTTTCAGCCTCAAACAGCAGCATCCCGAAGCTATGTAGGTTCAAACACCTCAACAGGAGTGAATCGAGATGAGGAAACCAGTCGCTTTCACAATACAAAGAGAGGAAACTTCCATGAAGTATTTAACTTGCCAGAACATGAGCGTCCATTGGCAGGTATTCACACAACTTGGGAGGTGGACATTAATTACCTACGAGACCGCCTTCTGCCACCAATAGCCTCCCATCGGCCAGTACGCTCGCACAGAGTGGGCCTCCTCAGGGTGCCGTCCGCCAGACAATGTCGGCTGACGACTCCCAGGGGGAGAGCCTTCTCTGTGGCGGCGCCCGCCCTCTGGAACAACCTCCCCCCAGAGATACGTACAATAACAGACCTCCGGATTTTTCGTCGGACCCTGAAAACCCATTTATTTCAACTAGCTGGGCTGCCTTGAGTTAATTTTAAATTGATTTTAAATTGGGTTGTTTTAATTTACGGCCAAAATATTTAATTATTTTAAACTGCTTTTAAATTTTATATGTATTGTTTTTACTTTGGCTGTTCACTGCCCTGAGTCCTATTTTGGAGAAGGGCGGTATAGAAATTTTAATAATAATAATAATAATAATAAGTAATGAGATTTTTTTTAAAGGCCCATAAAGTAACATTATTAAGAAATGATTGACATCATAATGTAATCTGCTGTTGCATTCCATGGACAGCAGATCAATATTAATCTTTTATCATGCAGGCAACAGATTCTCTGTGCAAGTGGGATGGCTGATTTGACCTTTGAGGAAATGGAGCATTCACTTGTCAGAGAATTTTAACTTTACCCTGGCTTGAAACATTTACTTCAGTGTCTAGAAGAGCTTGTATGCATTTTCAGAATTTAGGTTCTGTTGTTTTGGTGACTTTTAAAAAGAAAACTTACCACATGAATCAAAGTTTATTGAAGATTTCACTCCTTTATGAACATGTTTTCTTTGTAGGAGCTTGTTTGCCAACTCTGTATATAGAACTTTTAGCTGTATCTGAAATATACAAATATTACAGCTGTTTACGATGTAAAAGTAAAATGGAATAATTGTACTATTTTATAGTGTGTGAAAATGGCTGGCGCTGCTGCTTGATAAACAGAGATAGGAAGATAACCACTGATTACATTAGGAATGGCGTTCTCTATGTTACTGAAAAGTAAGTGTTTGCATTATTTACAGCAGAATGTTAAAACTAGGGGCCACTAGATCTGGGCTGCAAAAAATTGGATGATCACTGGCTGGCAATAGGGAGTTATTTTTCTCCCACCTCCTAATGTCGTCCATATTTTTGCCACCCTGACTTGATGACTCCATTTAAGGGGATGGGGGGGGGAGTTAAGTGTTTTTGTGAACTACAAAAAAAGTATTTTAAAGAAAATAACTTTCAGAAGTTTTTTTGTGAATCTATAAAAATGTTATTGAAGAGGTTGAAGATGCTTGCCATAAGTTTCGTAAGACTGAGCTATAACATAAAGGTTAATGGAAAAGAACACTATAGAAAGCTCCAATAAAAGAGTGAAATTGTTTTCAGTGGGGTTTCCTTAGAAGAGATCTTCATTGTTTTGCAGAAGGACAAATCCATAGTTAATATGTGATCAAGGGAGAAAGCCACTTTGGTATAGTGATTAAGGCATCTGGCTATAGAAACTGGGAGACTGTGAGTTCTAGTCTTGCTTTAGATACAAAGCCGTCTGCATGATTGTGGGCCAGTTTTTCTCTCTCAGCCCTAGAAAGGAGAAAACAAGGGCAAAACACTTCAGGAAAACCTTGCCAAAAATCATGCAGGAACTAAGCCAGGCAGGCGTCAGGAGTAAGAAACCACCTCAAAGGCAAAGAGGAAAAAAAGTGATAAGAGCATGCCAAGAACGCCAGAAAATATATAGTTTGGATTAGTTGGATAAAACAAAAGGTACCCAGCTTTAGCATATAAATACTAAAATTAAATTGATATGCTTCCCATCTTACTATCCAAAGCGACTCTGAGCGTCTTACAATATGATACATATATATATAATCATTAGGTTTTAAAATTTGAAGTTATCTTGTTTTACATGTTGATATTATCTCTTCGAGGGAGATGGGCGGTCTAGAAATGTGAAATATAAATAAATAAATATAAATAACTCAATGGCAGTGTTTTAAATCATTTAGGATTTTTTACTTTTTTAAAATTTATATTCTTTCTTTCCTTGCCTTTAGTTACTTATGCTTTGAAAGTTCCAAATCTGGTTCATCTAAAAGAAATAAAGTTATAAAACTTGCAGATATAACAGATATTCAAAAGGTAAGCACTTGCTTTTTCTTCAGTGTTTTGCTTTTGACTTCTTTTATGTTGAAGAAGCTTATCTATCATGTCGTGGTAAAAACAATTTTTAACGCTGCATTAAATAGCAAATGGATGCAGTGAAATAAATATAATCCCAGATTTACTAACACTGATTAGGACTAAAAAGCACACCCACTCACAGCTGCCCCTGGACATGAAGTTTCAAAAATCTATGACCCATTTAGCATTAGCTGTAGGATTAATGTAGGAATACAGCATTAGTTGTAGGGCTGTTCATGCTTCAAAAATAAGTTGGAGGGAATACTTTAGACCAGAGGTCCCCAAACTTGGCAGCTTTAAGACTTGTGGACTTCAACTCACAGAATTCTCCCAGAATTCTGGGAGTTGAAGTCCACAAGTCTTAAAGCTGCCAAGTTTGAAGACCTCTGCTTTAGACTTTCACCTCTGTGCTATTCTTTAATCAAACTGGTTATTTCCCCCCCAGATTTCTATGCAAGCCTAAAAAAAGTTGTAGTTGCCCTGAAGAGATAAGTTACAACTTTTTTGCCAAAGATTTTTCAAGATTCCAAAGAACCTTGAAAGCAAAGAACTGTTTTAGTGACTATTAGTGATTTGCTTTGCTTATATGCTCAAATGAGGCCTGAAGTACATCTTCCAACTGATTGCTAAAATATGTACAGCCGTACATATTAATTTTTCTGCTGATCAAAAGTCTCTTTTCCTTCCTGGGATTAAATTTAATTCAAGACTGTCTATATTGGAATATAGACAGCAATAGCATTAATAATAGCAATAGCACTTAGATTTATATACCACTTCACAGTGCTTTACAGCGGTCTTTCTAAGAGTCAACATATTGCCCCAACAATTTGGGTCCTCATTTTACCAACCTCAGAAAGATGGAAGATTGAGTCAACCTTGGGCCGGTATGAATTGAACTGCTGACATTCGGCAGAATTAGCCTGCAATACTGCATTCTAACCACTGTGCCACCATGGCTCCTATTACATGCATATTATTATTATTAAAATGTTATTTTATTTCTGCAGTTAAATTTTATCACAATTTAGTGTAGTGTAATTCTTATTCTTATTTAGTATATATAAATAAGAGCTTGCTGGCTGCCAGAAAGAGAAAAAAAGCCCAGAATCGAGTGGATGTGATTCTACTGAGCTAGGGCTGCAGAAAAACCTTGGTTACGTAGGAAAAACCTGGCTAGAGGAAAAACACACATAAATCCTACGAAGAAGTAAGAAAATAGATATTGTACCTTTATAGGGAGGATACATGAGATGTGGGTGTGGCTTACTGATGATGGCTAACGAGCCAGAAATAGATCTATATAAGTCTCTCACCAGGCAGCAAGAGCTTGCTGGCTGCCAGAAAGAAAAAAAGCCCAGAATCGAGTGGATGTGATTCTACTGAGCTAGGGCTGCACTTGGAGATAGTCAGGGTCAGGGAGTGAAAAGACCTTAGCAAAGACTGAATGGCTCCCTGGCTCTGGAGACCTCCATTCTTTAGCTCTTGATGGGGTAGCATTTCCCCCAGACTGATTTGTTGCAATTATCTTAGAGTCCTCAGATTCATGGTACATGTGACATCAGTGCTGCACAAGCTGTACTATTTCCCAGTAGTCTTTTAGGTGCAATTCAAAGTGTTGATTACCACCTTTAAAGCCTTGTATGGCACAGGGCCACGTTACTTGGAGGACTGTGTATCTCCAGTGGGCTTCAGCTCATTCTATCAGATCTGGCAGGGCAGGCATGTTCTGAGCCGCTTCTCTGAAACAAGATCACATAGCAAGACCCAGGATATGTGCTTTTTCTGTCACAGCTACTGACCTTTGAAGCAACTTTCCCTCCAAGGTCTGGAAGATTGAGAAAGCTGACTGTCTCTTCAGATATTAGGGCGGGACATTAATGGAGCCCAATATGTTTGCTGTGTTAGGATAATATTATTGATGATCCATGGTGGTACAATGGTTAAAATGCAGTAAAAAGGTAAAGGTAAAGGTTCCCCATGCACATATATGCTAGTCATTCCTGACTCTAGGGGACGGTGCTCATCTCCGTTTCAAAGCCGAAGAACCAGCGCTGTCCAAAGACGTCTCCGTGGTCATGTGGCCGGCATGACTCAATGCCAAAGATGCATGGAACGCTGTTACCTTCCCACCAAAGGTGGTCCCTATTTTTCTACTTGCATTTTTTACGTGCTTTCGAACTGCTAGGTTGGCAGAAGCTGGGACAAGTAACGGGAGCTCACCCCGTTACGCGGCACTAGGGATTTGAACCGCTGAACTGCCGACCTTTCGATTGACAAGCTCAGCGTCTTAGTCACTGAGCCACCTGCTGGCTGCCAGCAGTTCGGCAGTTCGAGTCTCATCGGTTTAAGGTTGACTCAATCTCAATCAAGGTTGACTCAGCCTTCCATCCTTCTGAGGCCAGTAAAATGAGGAGCCAGCTTGTTGGGGGGCAATATGCTGATTCTGTAAACTGCTTAGAAAGGGCTGTAAAGCATTGTGAAGCGATATCTAAGTCTAAGTGCTATTCTGTGAATTATTATTATTCTAAATTATATTCCATATTATGTTGTTTTTATTGTCATTTTAATGCACCATTTGATAGGTGTCCAGGATTACTTGTTTAAGATAGGCAATCATATACACTTTCTACAGAAGGAAATGTCAAAATCACAGAATTGTGCAGTTGAAAGGGAACACAAAGATGAGATAGTCCTACACTCTAGCCACAAATCTTTTCTTTAAACACCTTTTCACTGAAGGATCTTTATGATTATAGAATGTTGGTCATGCCTCCAAACATCATTCATTTTGTCAATGAATGACTTGGTTTCTGGAAATGTTAAATTCCATGCTTACATTGTAGTTACTTTCTTGTATGTACCAGGAATGGCTGGCATCGATACACTCTTTATAAATTGGTTTCTAATTTTTTAACTACCAGAGAAAAAATGATTTTGTTTCTGTTTCGGTAACAAAGCATATTGAATATCTGGGGTTAGTGTTTTCCATCATATGCGGTGTTTGATAAATCCTAACGCACTGAACCAGTGGGACGAGTTAGTCATGATTAGCCTATGTCCAATTATTTTGATGGATTTGTTCTATGCATAAGTACATCTGACACAACCATTCGGTTTAAATAAGTTTCAGGTTACCATTAGCTGTGTAAGAATAAATCAAGCACGGAGGTTTCAAAAAATGGTAGGATCAGGCTGTTTTGATCGGTACTCAGTTATTATTTTTTAAAAAAATCTTTATACAGTCCAGTTGTTGGATTTTACCTCTGTGTGGAACATGATTTAGAGCAGCGGCCCCCAACCTTTTGGGCGTCAGGGACTGATTCTATGGAGAGAGGTTTTTCCGTGGACTGGATGAGGCAGTCTGCCTGTATGTAGTGTGTTGCATGCTGTTGTGGTCCGCCAGCAGCCTGCGGAGCTGGCAGCGGAGTTGGACAGTGAGGAGGCTGGGGAGGAACATGGACCAGTCCTGGAGTCTGGGGAAGGCCCGGACGAGGGCTCTGCGTCAAAGGCAGAGATTAGGCCAGGACCATCTGGGAATGATGCGCGGACTCCGGAGCCCCCAGAGTCGGACAGCAGAGAAGCAGAGGAACAGGAAGAGCCTGTTCCTAGTGCACGCATGCACAGAGCTGCCAGAAGGCAAGAGCAGCTAAAGCAAAAGGGACGACTCGGGAGCAAGGCCAGGAGATGATTGGCCCCTCCCATAAGGCTTAAAAGAGAAACAGAGGCACTTGGGCCTTTTGCAGGAAAGCAACATTGCTAACTCTGTTTCCAGTTGGCATCTCTTGTTTGTTTCTGAACTTCGTGGGGCTTTGCCAAGTAAGGCCTTTGGCAGGGTGTCAAAGAAGATAAAGGTTGGTGATTATCCCGAAGGACTTCTTCCGAAGGACTTGTTGCAATTAATTGGGACTCAGGTGGGAATGAACGTAATTCTCAGCTGTTACAATAAAATAGGTTTGTTTGGGACTAATTGTGTATTGTAATTACTCAGTAAGCCTAGGTCACAACACATGCATCCCGCGGATGGGGCTTCGCTTGTTTGTGCGGACCGGTTTCTGGCATGCTGCGGACCGGTGCCGGTCCACAGACCAGAGGTTGGGGACCCCTGCTGTAGAGCACATCTGTTTGACAAGAAAATAGTGATTCTCCTTGCTCCTTTTCCTCCACTGCGAAAGCAACATTCAGAAACACCTCAAATATGGGCTTTATAATACACTATTTTAAGAACTTTGGATATCTAGATAAGATACTGTTGTTTAAATTTCTGCACTGGTTAATTCTACTTTTTCTGTTGCATGTGAAAGTATTTGTTATGTAAATCTTTTTTTTTAATGTTTATTTTAGTACAAAGTACTTTCCGTTCTCCCAGGATCTGGGATGGGTATTGCAGTATCCACACCATCTACACAAAAAGTAAGTAGTCAAATCTGAAGCATATACATCAGTGGTGAAATCCAATTTTTTTTACTACTGGTTCTGTGGGCGTGGCTTGATGGGCTTGGTGTGACTTGGTGGGTGTGGCTTGGTGGGCATGGCAGGGGAAGGATACTGCAAAATCTCCATTCCCTCCCCACTCCAGGGGAAGGATACTGCAAAATCTCCATTCCCTCCCTACTCCAGGGGAAGGATACTGCAAAATCCCTCCCCACTCCAGGGGAAGGATATTGCAAAATGTCCATTCCCACCCCATTCTGGGACCAGCCAGAGGTGGCATTTGCCAGTTCCCCGAACTACTCAAAATTTCCGCTACCAGTTCTCCAGAACTTGTCAGAACCTGCTGGATTTCACCCCTGATATATATATTTCATTTGCATGCTGGTTACCATCACTTGACAATTTTGCTTGTCTGGAATACTGATTCTATCTCTTTTTGGAGCACTTCTTAGTTTGATAAATAGGAATCATTTTATTAATGAACTATTTTTTTTATTTAATAAAAAAAATAAAACCAATGCTAAACTCTTCTCTCTTCTTCCATTTTTTCCCCTTTTCTGTAACTCTTATAGTTTTAAGTTTGAATGATGGGAAGGCTGGCTTGTTATTTGCTACTGAGAAGAGTAGATAAGGCATGTACATCAGTGGTGGGGTTGCTCCTGGTTCTGTCCGGTTCTTGAGAACCGGTAGTAAAAGCGGCGGGAGGCTCCGCCCACCCACCCGGACGTCATAAGGTACAATCCGTGCACGCGTAGAAGCGTGTGCGCTCCCGTTGCGAACTGGTAGTAAAGGTAAGTAGAACCCACCCCTGATGTACATGCAAAATTTTCCAATTCAGGGGCATAATATTGAGAAGAACTCTGGAGTGCCCTGTTCCTTTCCTAGACCATGGCAAAACATTCCGGAGTATGCTCCTCCAAAATCAGTTCAGTAGTTTCTTGAAGGAAATGCTCCAAAGCGGAAGCCTCTTTTGACCCTAGATCAGCGGTGTCAAACTCTATTTCATTGAGGGCTGCATCAGGATTGTGTTTGGCCAGGGGAGGCGTGGCCAGATCGACGTCACTCGTGTCGGGGGAGCCTGTGGTGGCCCGAGCGCTCTGCCAGAGAAAACGGGCTCCCGAGCTCCGTTTTCGGCTGTGACGGCGTCTTGCAACCCTCTGCCAGCGAAAACGGAACTCGGGAGGGCTGCACATAAGCCGGTCCTTCGCTGTTTCCAGAGCGGCCCCGCAGGCCAGATCTAAACACCCCATGGACAGGATCCGGCCCGTGGGCTTGACTTTGACATTCCTGCCCTAGATCACAATGCTTCTATTTCATGAACATTTGCTTTCAGAAATCACCAGACTAGCCCCAAACTGAGTAGCATTTCGAGGCAAGGGACGGATTTAAAGTTCTGTGGAACATCCTGGACCTAAATTGGGGAGTTCTGCGTATAACCCAGTAGGCCTATTTTAAATAAGTTTAAAATTGAGATGAACGTCTTTTGGGGTACTGTATAGGATTCTGCTATTATTAATGTATTGGAATGCTCACGTTTTAGTCATTCTTTTATTGAACTTCTTTGGGTTGTTTTTTTTCTTTTTTTCCTCCTGAAAGCCGCTCGTGTTTGGTGCCATGGTACACAGAGACGAAGCTTTTGAGACTATTTTCAGCCAGTATGTGAAGATAACCTCTGCAGCATCTGCCAGTGAAAGCTAGTATATCATCCTTGCCGGTTATTATAGGAAACATCATGAATTTTACTCACCCAGTAGTGAATAAAAAGGTGGAACATCCTTCAATCATCAGTCCTGCAATAATTTTCTTTGTTGCATATGTCCTATGTTACAGAAGTGCATTTTTTACATGCCTTCCATGGTTTCTGTTGGTTTTTATTTACTGTTGTTGGTTTTTTGTTTTTTGTTTTGGTAATAAAATAAAAGAACAGTGAAAATGCTATCGGCACTGTTAGCCTTGCACATTAAGCACTTTTAATGTTTGTTCACTGACATTAAAAAGCTTGGGAGGATTCTTAGCAAAACTAGCTTGAGGGGTAGGCCTTGTCTTAATAAGACATACCCTGAACTCTGCGGTTCATCCGATATTTCTTTCGCTACGGGTTCTGCACACTTCCACTGCACAAATTCCATTGATTTAAGTGGCATTACTATATATACACAAATGGGGTGCAAGTTTGCAATTGAACTTAGCAAAAACTGTCAAGGACGTGATTTTGAAGGGTCTTGGTTTTCCTAAATGTGGTGTAAATAATAATAATAATATTCGAAGGTATGAGTATTTGAAGCTGTGCTTCCAGAAAACTTTCATACTGACTTCTGTATCTTTTCAAAAGGCATTTCTAGTTTTAGAGACAATTGGGAGATGCAATTAAATCTTCAGAGAGTTGATATGGTCATTTCTTCTTGGCCTACCTTACACATCTTGCTTTGTCATTTGTCTTATGTCCCTCTGTTGACATAACTAATGTTCCCAGTGTTTTTGATAGAGAAGCAACTTTTTAGAATTATTTGGCATGCTGCATTATCCTGTATTTTCCTTAAAATATTGGATAAACATAAAGTTGAAAGTTATCAAAAATGTGTCCATTGGAATGGAAGAGGAATAATGGAAATAGTGTTGTATCAATGTACTACAAGCTCTTCACCCTTTGTAGTATTTTGAGACACGTAAAAAAAGGAGGGCTACAACATTGAATCAACATAATTTTGATGAAACCCTGGGATCTTGCTGTTGCCCCTGTACATGTCCATAATTCTTTTTCTTTGGTATTCCTATTGGTAAATTTTGTATTGCACGAACGTTAATTTGCATTGGCTGATATTTTAGCTTCTTGAGAGCTGCAGCTACGCTTTTTGTAGTAATTAACTTTGCATGCGGTAGCCTTTTAATCATGAAAAGAAATTGAGTAGATGGCTAAAACTCCACATGCCAATTTAATATTTCATAAAGATGGCTATGATACATTAATTTTAGTTTCTTTTATTTCAAAGTCAGTTTTTGAAGATTGGATGGTTCTTAACAGAGAAGCAGCAGATCCTAGAATCTATTCTGTACTCCAAGTGATCCCCTCAATTGCTTTTTATTGAGTACATAGAGTCAATTGTTTACAAATACGATTGGAACTGTCAAGTAGGAAAATTGAGAGGCTGCTTCTGTGCTATGAACTAGTCTATCCCAAACCAACCCCTTGCTTTGTATTCTATTGTTGACTCTGTTACATGCATTTGCATGTAACATGTCACTGCTGCTCAGTTAAGCTTAATTATTATATGTTCAGATGTCATAAGAAGATGGACTAAAAAAAAAGTCAAGCATAACTAAAATTGTAGGCAATAAATGCTAGAAAAGTTTAGCAAACTGATTTATGTGTGGAGAAAACCTTGTTTCTTAAAAAGGATTAAAACACACATTAATTATTGGTCTAGAATCAGGATCTGAAAGGCTCATATATTTTCTATAAGGTAATACGGAGTTTCAACTCAGTGCTAATGTGAGCCCCTAAAATGTTAAATGAATTTTCTGTATGTGATTCTCCATGATGAATTAAACTCATGATTTCAATGGACTTAGGGGAGGGCAAAAATATACCACTGATTTTTTAATAATTAAGATGCAATTCACATAGAAATGCAATCCATATAGAATTAAAACATGAGAAAATATTGCAACTTTATAACATAAAACCTTTTCACTGGAAATAAATAGTAGAGCTATCAAACCATAATTTTAATGGGAAGAATACACTTGTTTTCTTCTTTATGACCCTTGAAATCTGGATTTCATTTTTGAGATAGTTGCTCTCATATTTTGTTCCATATTTATTTTGGATTAACATTTGCCTTTTATAGCAGCAACTGGTTAAAAAAAAATCAATCCTAACTTTGCTGTTGGCGTGATCAGGCAGAGTGCAAGCAACATCTTAATGTGATCTTGATTTGCATACTCAAAACATTTGCAGCATCCCACAGAATTGCTGATGACGGCCTGGGGCTTGTGACCCACAGTTTGAGATCAACCACTGTAACGGGGGAAAAGTTAGTGATGGTAAAATGTCAGCTTTTTTAGTAATGCATTTCTATATTAACATTTTGTGGTTTATATAAGATGTTAAGCTGGTAGGCTTCAGAAAACTTTGAACAAATAAGGATTTTGCCAGGCATAATCCCAGCAAGTAAATGTAAAGATGGGGATATAAGCATTATGTCAGATTAACATTTTTACCAACCTAAATCAGAATTGTATTACACAGAATTGGTGTTTTCCCCCCTTCTTTCTAAAAAGACTATCCCTTGGATAGTCAAGTTAATATATTTAATCTTATTAATATTTATTAAACCCAACATGGGTTTGTTAAAATAGATCATACTAGATAAACCTTACTGGCTTCTTTGACAAAGTGACTAAATTAGCGGATCAGGGAAATGCTGAGGACGTAGCATTTGATAAAGTAGACCCAGCCTGCTTCTTGGCAAGAGAAAAATGTGGGATAGACAGCATCACTATCAGATGGTTTTGTAACTGGTTGACCAACCACACTCAACATGCAGTCTTCAATGGAACTACATCTACATGGAGAAGAGCATGCAGTGGGATACTTCAAGGTTCTGCCTTGGGCTCACTGCTCTTCAACATCTTCATAAAAGAAGGAAAAGAAAGGATTCTTATCAAATTTGGAGATGATACCAAGCTGGGGGGGAATAGTCAACACTTTAGAAGGTAGGCTCAAGATCCAGAAGGGATCTTGGGCCCCATTAAACAAAATTAAATTCAGTAGTGAGAAAAGTAGGATCTTATACATAGGCAAGAAAAACCAAATGCAAAGGTGTAGAAGAGATGATACCTAGCTCAACAGCAGTGTCTGTGAGAGAGATCTAGGTGTCCTAGTTGACAATCAACTTAAGTATGAGCCAGAAGTGTGCTGCAGCTGCCAAAACAGCCAATACAGTTCTAGGCTGCATCAACAGAGGGATAGTACCAAATTGATGTGAAGTGAGAATACCCTTTACACTGCACTACAGGTCGTTCTCCGTTTTACAACCTTTCTTTCCACAGTTGTTAAGTGATACATTGCAGTTGTTAAATTAGTAACATGGTTGTTAAATGAATCTGGCTTCCCCATTTACTTTGCTTGTCAAAAGGTCGCAAAAGGGAATCGCATAACCCTGGGACACGGCAAGCATTGTAAATATGAACTAGTTGCCAGGCATCTGAATTTTGATCACAAAGTGACCATGAAGATGCTGTCATGGTGGTATGTGTGAAGAAACAGTCATAAGTCACTTTTTTTTTTTTTACTTTTGTAACTTCAAATGGTCACTAAATGAACTGTTGTAATTCGAGGACCACCTGTGTATTACTGAGGGCAGGATGAAGTAATGGGTGGAAAATCATTAAAGAGAGATCCAACCTAGAATTAAGGATAAATTTCCTGACAGTGGGGACAATTTAATCAGTGGAACCGTTTGCCTCTAGAACAGTGTTTCTCAACCTTGGTAGCTTGAAGATGGGTGGACTTCAACTCCCAGAATCCCCCAGCCAGCAGCGCTGGCTGGGGGATTCTGGGAGTTGAAGTCCACCCATCTTCAAGCTTCCAAGGTTGAGAAACACTGCTCTAGAAGGTATCACTGAAGGCTTTCAATAAGAGACCGGACAGCCATTTGTCTGGAATGATACAGGGTCTCTTGATCAAGCAAGAGGTTAGACTAGAAGACCTCTGAAATTCCCTTCCTGTTAATTCTATGTTCTGTGAGATTTTTTTTGTGAGGAAAAAAAGGATAGATTATATTGTTTACCAAGCAAGCTATTTTTCTTTTCTTTTTTTCCCCTTTTGTATCATTTTCAAGTGTACTTTTTAACCTTCAATCTGTTCCTAAAATTACTGGTTCTGGTGAAAATCAGATAACAGGATTTTAAAAAAAATATTTTTTTTTATCTCCGTTCTAGTCACCCAAAGACTTGTTCTAGAACGGTGTATTTCAACCTGGCAACTTCAAGATGTCTGGATTTTAGTTCCCAGAATTCCCCAATTCTGGAAGTTGAAGTCTACACATCTTAAAGCTAATGGAAGTTGAAAACTACCATTCTAGAAGATGGTTGCTTCAAATCTATTTGTGAGATATGGTTATGCCACAATAATAATCTTTGATTTTTATATTTTCAGAATGAAACAGTATACGTAAATGGCTTTCAATTTTTCCCTATTCTTCTGTGTTCTTACAAAAATGTTCAAAATAAGCTGTACTTTTAAAAGTGCATCCCTTAAAGAAAAGAGACTAGAATGGAACATGTATTCAAGTGAGAATGCGAAGACCATTAATGTCTGTATTGTGTACATGAAAAAAACCCCAGGTATTTAGGAATTAGGTAAATCTTACCGTGCAACATTTAGCTCAGTGTCCAATCCTTAATTTTATCCCAGCCTATTTCTGCACGAGGATATAAATTCTCCCACCGAAATTAGAAAAATGTCTCAATTTGTGCGCATATTTTCCTGACCTCTCCTGTACACAGTTCACCACTTCAGTGGTGAAATGTATAATTTTGTAGACTTTTGATGACAATTCGTTTGTGAAAAATACATGCAGATATCCACCCATACACTAAAATGTGTAGGAGATGTGAAATGTACATTTTGCCATTGAAATACAGTCTTCATTTAGTCAAGCATTTGGGAAATTAGGTAAATATGCATTAAAATGGGAACTATTTTATTTTTTTCCCCTTCCTTGCTGAAGCCATGCACATTTTCCTACTGAAAGGACTAATGCATAATTAACTGCTGTTCTTTGTGATAGGGGATATTTAATCTCATGCCGTAAAAATAATTTTGGTGTGCTGGGCCATCTCAGTGCTTTTCTTTTTCTTATATCCTGAAATGCTGAATATTTGTCAGTTTATTCTGTAAACTGCAACCACTCCTAGGTTTGATTTAAATTCATCTCTTTCTATGGGATTTTCATTCTCTACTTACTGAATGTAGCTCCATTAGTGCTACTAATACAAAGTGTTACCTTAACGTAGCATTTTTAAAAACCATTTTATAAATTTGTTGTGCTGATATGTAGAGTAGTATCTCCTGTGGCTCATGATGATTTTTTTAAAAAATTAGTTGAATAAGCTGTTTTATTAGAAACATAGTGGTCATGTTGGAGACTTTTTCTCATTATAAAAGGAAATGAAAACTGATCACAACTTATGTTCCCTTCCTAAACTGCCAGAATCAGAAATTTTATTACATTAACATATTAATTTTGCAGGATTTGACTCTAGGCAAATCATGTAGCACCATAATGCAAAACTCTTGCAAAGCCAATGAATATGCTGTGTAAAGTGAGGGGGGGGATTATTGTAGAAGTATGGGAGTGTTTGACCTGCAAAAGCAAATCCGGTAGTTTATAACTAATTATGTACATTTCGGCAGACATTTTTTTCTGCTACTAATCATTAAAAAGAATGGATGTGAAATACTTTTTATGTCTGAAAATTCAGTCTATATTTTGAAGTTGTAAATAATACATTAGCAGTGTAACTTTTGTTCAAACAGGAGCGTTGTACTGTATGAAAAACTGAACTGAAACAATTTGCCCTGTACATTTTTTAAGAGAACTTTCTTTGTTTTAAAAAAAGTGGGGGGATAGGGTATCTTGGTATAAATTATAATTTTTATTTAAATAAACCTTAAAAATGCTTTCTGCTCTTGGTTGTTTTTCTTCATGGGAATTTATTTGTTTAAAATATTTATATAGCCACCCATCTCATAAATAGCTCTAGGCGTTTAACATAGCAACAGTTAAAAAAAAACCCTAACAGTCTAAACTAAACATAAAAATGTAAACATATAAAATAGAACCTAAGAAAGTGGGGGAACAAACATCACTAATCTCATACAACCACCTTGTAGCTGTTCCTGGACTCCAATGCTAGTGAAAAAAACAAATTTTAAGGGCCATCTGGAAGGCTAATGGGATGGGGCTAACCTCACCTTGGGGAATAATGGGCCACGGAGTTGGGGCCACAGCAGAATAGGCGCATCACTTGATTTCTCTTACATGAAGCTCCTTAGAGGACGGGATCTGCAGCACGTCGCCTCCTACCTGACCTGGTGAATGGATGGGCAGATGTAATTGGGAAGAATAAATAAAATGCCCCCCCCCACTTTAAAGATCAAGATGAGCCTCTTGAATTACACATGGAAGCAAACTCGGAACCAATGCAGTTCACAGAAGAAAGATGTAATAACTATTAGCACGGATGCATTTTGCATCAGCTGAAGATACTCGTCAAGGGCAGCCTCATGTAGAGCCTGCTACAGTAATTCATTCTGCATGTGAGCAGAGCATGAGCTACTCATGGTCCAGGAAGGCACACAACACAATGCTATGAAAAGGCTCTCCTAGCCATGGCAGTTGCACAACAAGTCTGTCCTCCTAGAACACGAGTGTCTCACAGCCCGTGGCCCGGATGTGTCACACACTGGCCATCCCCACCCCCAGTTTAGTGAAGGGAGAAAAGTCACAATATGTCACGTGACAATGTGATGCCGTGAGTTCGACACCCTGACCTAAAAGGAGCCCCCAAGTTGCACAACAAGTCTGGGACAGTGCCACACCAGAGATGGTAAAATACTAGAACCAAAGGACCCCAAAACCCAGATCCACTCAGTCTTGCCAGGTTCAGCTAAAGCCTGGTTGTTCCATACCTGAAACTCTATAGCCTCCGTGCACCAGGAGAAGTGGTTAAGTCCATCGTATCTTTTGCCAGGGATCACCAGCAGCTTCAGAAATTTTCCTCTAAGGGGACTCAAGGTTAGCAATTTCTGGGGGTGGGGGAACAGAACTGTTTTTTGAAGCATAAAATGCCACCCCAAATTTTTTTCCACCCTCCATTTTTGCACTTGGATTGAAATATTTTACATATTGTACATCCTCGCCTTGCATGCTTACTACTGGCGCCAGGAATTTTCCTCCTGGTGAACACAAAATGGATGTTCTCCAAAAATAAATGCAGAACTGTTGCTAAAATTTCACCCCAGATCTCATCCTGCCCCCCATTTTTCCATTCAGGTTGAAATATTTTTTAACACCACTGTCACCCCAAAAACATGGTGGAATTTTTTTTTACACAGACTCAAAACTTGCTGTTATTGAAAAGAGAAACCAGAACTGCATCTAAGCATAAAGTTCATTTTTGTATTTGGGTGGAACTATTTTCAACCCCCCCCCAACCAATCAGTTATTGACGGCATCAGGAAATTTGCAATTAAGGACCTAAAATCAGCTGTTGTTGAAAAGAATCAGGATCCTATTCTAAGCATTAAATTCCTCCACCCTGACTCTAATCCCATTCTCCATTTTTGCATTCAAGTCAACCTTTTTTTGAATCCCGCTGCCCATTGCTCATAATTCCAGCATCAGGAGCTTTCGTCTTATGGATACAAAATCGGCAGTTCTCAAAAAAGAGAATCCAGAATGGGTTCAAAGCATAAAATTATATCCCAAATTGAATTGAGATACTCCATTTTTCCATTCAACTTGAACAATTTTTCAGCCCTGCGCCATTCACCTATCCGGTGGTATCAAAAATTTTCATTCGAGAATACCAAAATCAGTGATTTTGGAAAAGAGACTCCAGAAACATTTCTAAAAATCCAACCCAAATCTCATCCCACTGTCAGTTTCTGAATTTGAGTCAAAATGGGTTTTAATCCGTCTGCACTGTGCATTTATCACCGGCATCAGGAATTTTCCTTTCAAAGCGTCAATTTTTGAAAAGAGACCCCAGAACTGATTCTAAGCATAAACTTCTACTCTGAGTCTCAACCCATCCTCCTGTTTTTTCACCATCCCAGCCTGATCTCCTACTACCAGCATCAGAAATTTTCATATCAGAGACCCACAATCAGCTGTTTTTCAAAATCAGCTGTTTTTCTAGTGGCATTTTGGCAGTTGGATTCTACATGCAATTAATGGATTTAACAAATTGATGTAAACCACATTACAAACACCTCCTGGGGAAAAGTTCTGTGTTACTGATGAAAGCCATAGTTCTGATTTAGCCAACTCAATGCTTTCCAGATTTGTTAGGACTATATTTCCAGCACTGGAGAACAGATTTCTAATACATGCATAGGTACCAGATTATGGACCACCACCATAGACTATGAATCAGATACAGAAGCATTTGTGTTGGAAATTAAGTAAATTAAACAATGTTATGATATTTGTGTGATAATTCCTTACTTTGAATTCATGTACAAATTCAATATGGTAATGGTTATATTTTATTGATTTTATATATATATATATATATATATATATGTATGTATGTATGTATGTATGTATGTATGTATGTATGTATGTATGTATGTATATATTTATATATTTATACCAAACTGATGAATTGATTTGGGATTTGCTTTATGTAGAAATAATTAGATTAGCAATTGTATGACAAAGGCACTTTTGGCTATGCCACTTTTTGTAAATGTTAATAATATAGCAATAATATTAATTCCTGTTATCTCTTGTTGTTGGGTTTCAATGGCATCAAACTCACTGCACTGGAATTATGCATACCCAGCAAATATTTTCTCATTTGTGATGTAATCATTAGTTTCAGGAAGAATGTAGTAGTAATTACTAGTTTCAGCATGAATATAATGGAAGGGAATGGAATGGAATGGAATGGAATGGAATAGAATAGAATAGAATAGAATAGAATAGAATAGAATAGAATAGAATAGAATAGAATAGAATCATAGGGCTGAAAGGGATCTAGGAGGTCTTCTAGTCCAGCCTCCTGCTGAAGGCAGGAGACCTTATACCTGTGATGGCGAACCTATGGCAGGCGGAGCCATATCTATGGGTACACAAGCCATTGCCCTAACTTAGCTCCAGCGTGCATGCGCATGCCAGCCATCTGATTTTTGGCTGGCCCCACCCATGCCGTCCTCCCCTCCCAGGAGTCTCCACACAGCCCGTTATGGATGCCAGGTAAATACAAGGCTTGCACGGAGGCTCTGGGAGGGTGTTTTTGGCCTCCGGGGGGGGTGGGAAAGGAAAGCCTCTGGAGCCTGGGGAGGGTGAAAATTGGGCCTACTAGGCCCATCGGTAACCTTTTTTCCGTTGCTTGCCAAAAGTGGGGGTTGCGGGGGGTGTTTGTGTGAGCATGCGTGGGGGGGCAGGGCATGGGGGCATTGAATTATGGGTGTGGGGATGTGCGCACGCAACCCCCCTGCGCTCCCTCCACTTTTGGCACGCAACGGCAAAAAGGTTAGCCATCACTGCCTTATATCTTCCCAGACAAATGATTGTCCAATCTATTCTTGAAAACCTTCAGCAACGGAAGGCAAGCATTTCCACTGGTTAATTGTCCTCCTAATTTTCAGGAAATTTCTCCCTAGTTCTACAGTAGATTGGATCTCTCTCTTTTAACAAGCATCCATCCATTGCTTCCTATCCTAATCTCAGATGCTTTGTGGAATAAATCGACCCCTTCTTTGTAACAGCCCTTCAAGTATTGGAAGACTACTATCAGATCTCCCATAAGTCTTCTCCTCCTTAGACTAGACATAGCCAGTTCTCTTACCTGTTCAACATACCATTTAGCCACCAGTCTCCTAGTCATCTTTGTTGCTCTTTTCCTTCTAGGGTCTCAAAATCTTTTTTAAGAAGAAGTTTTCCTTTTGAGAAGCAAGAACTTTGGGGGAATTTTCCAGTTCATAAGACTGGCAACCCTCCATCTTTTGTATATTTAAATAATGACGTACCATTTATTGCCAGTAAGACACAGATTCCTTTTATTCCATTTAAAGGTAGAACTTGTGCAACATTGAGTGCACTATCACGCAGAATCACTTGATGGCAGTAGCTGTCCAAAAATTTTTAACTAGATGGACAATGTAGCTGAAAAAAAGAATTTTTACCAAGCACAATTTATAACAGGAGAAATTATAAGAAAGTTATTTTCTGTATTCATTATTATTATTGGACCTTTAGAAGACATATTGCATCTCCTCAAGAGATGTAACAAAGAACTTAACGGGTGCTTCTGTTCCAGGAAGAACAACAGTATCAGACAGAAGCAAATGCCCCTTTGTTTGAAAGAAAATTGCAAACGGATGAACTATAAATCTGTTTCTTTGAGAAATCTCAACCATTTAATCCATTTCCTTTCAAATGAACTTGATGTTGTTTTGTGCAATTGATTGCTTCTAATTTATATGCAGGCAAATAATGGTTTTGCGGGTGGGGACTTCATTTCTTCCAGAACTTTTTGATGCAGAAATAGGAAATTTAAAGTTTTTACGAATGAATAGCATAAACAGTAAAGCCATTTTGTAATGCTGAAAAGAGGCTTCTCTAAGGCCATGCTGAGACATTAAATTCAATTTGGCAAGCTGCTGAAATATTTTTTAGCTGTTCTAAGAGTAGAATTAAAGGCCGAAGTCTGATTAAAACAAGACATACTATAACATTCCATTGTAGTATGTTGTTTGTTATTTAGAAAGTTAAATGTCAGGGAAAGAGTTTTCTCTCTTTATTTAATTGGAGAAAACTTTTCTTTTAAAATGCGAAGGCTTTCATTACACGAGATCGCTTGCATCTGTTTGGGTCTTCAGACTTAGTTTTACTCTTAGGAGACATGTATTATTAGAAAACTTATAGCATAAACAAACACAAGGAAGCC